CATGGTGCTCCCAGACGTAGATGGGGCTCTCGGAGTCGACAGTGTGGGACCTTCAGTCGCTGATGGGTGCCCGCCAGATGTGGACCCTCGGAGACGCCAGTATGGGGCCCTCAGAGATGCCGGTATGTGGCCCTTTATAGACACCGGTGTGGAACCCTCAGATACTTCAATGTGAAGCCCTTGCAATTGTTGGTGTGGAGCTATGAATGCGCTGGCTTAAATCCCTCAGAGGCCGGTACATGGACATTAGAGCTCAGTGAGAGCTTGTGTGGTGCCTTCAGTGGCCTTGTGGAGCCGTTAGACATCAACATGGAGCTCTCAGGAGCCGGTGAGTCCTCAGAGTCACCGGTGTGGGCCGTGGGGCCTTCAGAGCTCCGAGATACTGGTGTGGGGCCCTCAGAGGTGTCGGTGTGCGTCCTTCAGATGTACCTATATGTAGAGCCTTGAGATGCACAGGTGTGGTGGCCCACAGAGGCGCCGGTGTGGGGCCCCCAGAGCCACCGATATAGGGCCCTAAGAGACACTAGTATGACCCTCAAAGGCGCCGCTGTGTGGCGCTCATAAACACTGGTGTGGAGCCATCACAGGCGGGTGGAGCCGTTAGAGGCCGGAAAGAGCCCTTAGATGCCTACAAGGAGCCTTCATAAGCCGGCGTGGCACCCTTATGGAGATAAGCGTGTCTACTTAGGAGCCCTTGAGGTGCTCTCATGAGCTCTGTGGGGCCCTACCGAGCTGAAATATGGCCACGGCCAGTTGCCGCCGCATGGCTCTTCGGACTATCATTCTCAGGGGCCTCACCTGCCTAGTTTGAATAGAAGGGCCTCTCAGACCATCAGTCTCATGGGCCTCCTCTGGCTAGTATAAATAGAAGGGCCTGTTAGACCATCAATCCTAGGGGCCTCCTCTGGTTAGTATAAATAGAAGAGCCTCTCACTTCTCAGACCATTAATCTCAGGGGGCTCCTGTGGACAGTATAAATAAAAGGGCCTCTCAGACCATCAGTCTCGGGGGCCTCCCTAGAAAAGTGTAAATGTGGATAGAGGCCCCCTCAGATTCATTAGGAGTGGACCTCTCTGACTATCAGTCTCAGGGGCCTCTTGTGGCCAGTATGAATATAAGAGCCTCTCAGACCATCGGTCTCAGGGGCCTCTTCTGACTAGTGTGGATAGAGGGCCCTCCCAGACCACCGGTTTCAGGGGCCTCCAGTGGCCAGTTATATGAACAGAAGGGCCTCACAGCCATCAGCGTCGGGGGCCTCTTCTGACTGGTGCATGAATATGAGGGCCTCTCATACCATCAGTCTCAGGGGCCTCCTCTGCCTAGTGCGTGAATATAAGGGCTTCCCAGGCCATCAGTCTCAGGGGACTCTTCTGACTAGTGCCGGATTGAGGGACCTCCCAGACCGAAAGTTTTGGGGGTCTCCTGTGGCCAGTATGAATAGAAGGGCCTCTCAGTCCATCAGCCTCATGGGCCTCTTCTGCCTGGTGTGATTATAAGGGCCTCTCAGGTCATCAGTCTCAGGGGCCTCCTCTGACTACAGTGTAGATGGATAGGCTTCCCAGACCATCAGTCTCAGGGGCCTCTTCTGACTATTGAGGATAGAGGGGCCTCCTCTGACTAGTGAGGGTAGGGGGCCTCGGCTAGACCGCCAGTGTCAGGGGCCTATTCTGATTAGTGTGGATGGAGGGGCCTCCCAGACCACCAGTCTCAGACCTCTGACTAGTGTGGATAGAGGGGCCTCCCAGACCGCCAGTGTCAGGGGTCTCCCCAGACCAGTGTGGATATTGGGGCCTCCTCAGATCCACTAGGGCCTTTCAGGCCATCAGTCTCAGGCGCTTCGACTGACAAGTATGAACATAGGGCCTCCTTGGATCCATCACGGCCCCTTGGAGTCCGTGCGTGGGGACTCGTGGAACTTATTTTTACCGAGTTTGTTTATTCTGGAAGGTGACGACGTCCTCTCAAATCGAGACGAGGGGCCTCGAGTAAAAAGTGGGTGGGCCAAAACATATGGTTGGCCCCCCACCTCGAAAAGTGGGTGGGCACTTGCCCACCTGGCCCCCCCTGTTCCTACGCCTATGCAAAAACCCAAGCGTCGCTGTTTGAAACAAAAGCGCCATATACTGCGACTTTTTTTATAGAGAAGGACAACGCATTTCGGTGGGTGTTACAAGTACTGCAAGTACTGCTTCTTTTTTGCAAAAATAAAAACCTTTTTCACATACGAAAATGTGCTAGGAAATTTTCATATTTTATAGAAACTACAGTAGAAATAGTATAGATGTCGAGTAATTTTTATTTAAGAAAAAAGAAAGCTCATTATCTCCCTTTAACCCTCGCCCTGGCAGGGCATTTTTCATAACACGGCCTGGCGGGGGGGGGGGGGGTCGATGCGACCCCCCCCCTCGCGATTGGCTCCTATGGCACCTAGAAACACCAAATTTGGTAGGTAGGTGGGCCCCCTGGAGTTCTCGCCCCAGTGCAAATTTGGTTGCTCTAGGTCAATATTTAGGGGGTTTTTGGGGGGTATAAATGTAAAAATTTCGCTAAAAATACGTCAAAAGTTTTTCGCTTATAACTTTTGATCTAATTAAGATAGAGCAAAACGAAAAGCACCGGTGAACTCAGCACGTCAAGGCGCGTCGAATGACATACTTTTTAGCTTGCTTAAGTGTACTTAAAGTTTTTCTTAAATTTTAAGTAGGTAAACTTAAATTAATAAATTAAGTTAAAGTTAACCAAATTGCATCATATCGCATATTATTCGATTCGGCTGATCACCAGGAACACAATGATACCATTTTTTAAGCTCTAGCGTCATTATGTGCTAAGTTATTGGCAAAAACGCCATTTGACCTCAGTTGACCTCATTTGACCTGACCCATGGATAAGTACACCAAACAAAGAAGCACCAAGTGACCTGCTGTTAAGTACTGTGGTTTCAAAGCACAAAAGTGATAGAACGAAGCGGATATCTCCAGTATTTTCCGAATTTAGTATTTTCCCATAGGCTTAACATTACGACGTACCTAGTGACCTCTAACTGACCTCAGGTCAGTGACCTCAAAAAACCCGAACTATATGTTATACAACTCGGTGAACTTAGCACATCCTGAAAGTTTGAAGGAAATCAGTCCAAAACTGTGAGTTGGACAGGTGCAAAAAGAAAATTGAAATTTGACCATGACCTTGTACCGGTTTTTCCGACCTGGTGACCTGACCCAAGGTCACCGGACCTGAAATTTTCAGGTCATATGTAAAAAGGTTGTTCCATAGGCTGTGCCAAATTTGGCAGCGCCGCCGTTTTTACGCTATATTCGAAAAACCTTAGGGGGGGGGTCGCATCGACCCCCCCCCCCCTGCCAGGGCGAGGGTTAAGTTGCCATAATAGGAAAAGACGTTTGTCCCATGCTTTATGGTGGGTATACAGGTCGCGTGAAGGTCATGTAAAGATTATTGACCTTTAGTGACCCCTGGTGACTTCTTCGAGTTTGACTTCATTTACCATTTAGCAGTTCTTTTAGTTGATTTCGAAAACCGACCATTTGAACATTTGAGAAGTCGGCCGTGCGGCGGCTGTGGCGTATCGCAGCCTGACGGGCGCTTCCCGATACGGCACACTGAATGCGAACAAAACAGTGGCGGTCCGCTCCCACACTGCCGCAGCGCGCGGCGAGCAGCTGTGCAGCTCTGCAGCCACAGAGAGGGACTCATCTAGAGGGCTGGTACGGTCACAGCTCACGGGACGCATCTGGACCGCCCCCGAGGGTTAGTACATGTCAAAGCTCGATGTGCACAGGATAGCCTGCTGCAACGGACCGTTGCTGATGGCAGGATCGTCCCACACGGCCACAGCTCTGTGAACCTGCCACCCGACTGACACGCCGTTGGCCAGGTCTGGCTGTCACAGATTAACAGGTATGCAAACATACATTTGTGACAAAGGACAACCATAACTTACCTGTGACCGGCACCGGCAGTCGGCACGTCATCCGCGGCGGGCAGTTCGTCATTCTCGGAACCGTGCCCAAGCCATGGCTGTTAATTGGATTAACAATGCCTCACACATCTCTGTGCCCATTGGGTTGCCTGCACGCCGGCTGGGCGGCGGCGGTGGCCCGCTCGCTCGGCCGACGCGTCCGATCGGCCCGGAGCGCCCGAGCGGCGCGGCCGGGTTCCGGTCGGCGCGTGCGGCGCGGCGGCCAGCTGCCGGCGGCGGCGCGGCGGACGCAGCCACCGGCCAGCTGACACACCGCCGGAGGAGCAGCGGGCTCGGCCAGCTCGGTCACACGTCGACGATCGATTGTGGTGGTTAGACGCGGCCCAGACGGCTCCGTGGGGCTTCCCGGCGCTGCTGGGAGCCGGCCGGCAGACCCGGCGGACGGACCAGGAGCGGGCTGAGACGGCGCCGGGACCGACGGAGGCCTGAGTCTCGCGCTAATCGACAGAGACAGCAGTGGAGTGACGAGTGACGATTGGACGGCACAGGACCCTCCAGCCAGCTCATCGTGAAAAAGGAACCATGCTGAGAAGACAGGATACAGCGTGAAGGTAAATGGCAAGGCTGTTGATATTCAAAGGATCAAGCACTGCGTCGTTACTCGTGTTCGTTTTATGGAAGCGGTGGACGATAACTTCTGCATATGATTGAGACTGAGTGCTGTGCTACGATTTCGGGAAGTGAGACTGAGAGACTTCAGAGGCATCTTGGGTCACGTTCCAGTTGTAATTATCATACCAGTGGCTCAATCGTGCACATCTGCAGAACGAAGGCAGCAGGCTCATTTCTTGCATGCTGCCTTCGGTGAACGGAAGGACTTGACAGATCTGGCAAATGGCCACCGACACTGAGCCACCTCCCACGACGCAGCTGCCCCCATGGCGCCAGGAGCTGTTGCCCCTGCGGCGCCGACGGGACGGTAGGGTGGCCCCCACCAGCCGGCCGCCGCCCCCGCCGCCGCCCCCGCCCCCGCCGCGGACCCCGGCGGCCACCGCTGGAGGGTCCGGCGGCTCGCCGCACCGGCAGCCCGCCAGCCGCTACATCGACGCGTTCGGCGAGATCGTCGGCCTGCCGTCGCCGCGCAGCGCCTGCGACGAGCCGGAGTCGACGGCCGGCGAGCTGCAGTACGGGCCGGGTATCGTCTCGCGACTGTGCAGTCGCTACCAGTCGATGGCCGGGCGTGTCGCCGCCACTCCGTGCGACGAGGCAATGCGGCGCGCCGCCAGCCTCCAGGACCTGCTGCGCCGAGAGGGGGCGTTCGAACGGGGCGCTCTCCAGGACAGCTACCTGCTGACGGGCGGCGGCGCGCTCTCCGCCCCGCCCGCCTGGGCCGAGTCGATAAGGAAAGCAAAGTCCGTCGGGGACCTGGTATCGCCGCCGCCGCCGCCGCGGACCGGTGGGCCGGGACAGTCCGGTGAGCCCGCTCGGACAGATAGAGACGGGCGGCGACGTGTGCCGGTCGACAGAGGCAGCTCAGAGCCAAGGTCGACGCCCGGGAGGACAGGACCAGTGAGGGCGGACGCAGCGGGCACGAAGACGCTGAGAGCACCAGCCGTTGGAGAGAGACGAGCTTCAGTGACGGCAGGTGAGAGGCTTTCAAAGGTGAGGTCAGCCGGTGCCCCCAAAAGGACCGAGGACGCACCTAGTGGTGAAGTAAAGAAAGTGACCTTGTGCCAGAAAGAGGCGCCTATAGTAAAGCCACGCAACTTTGAAAAGAACTCGAAGACAGGACGAGCTTGCCAAGATGTGAAGGAGAGTAAGGCACACGGGAAGAAATTAGAGGTGAGTTCAGTCAGTGTTTCAAGGTCGAATGGCACGAAGCTCCCGCGGAAGGAACCGCGTGAGTCAGCAGCGCAGGTGGTACCAGCACCGAAAACTGTAGGAAACAGAGTAGCTTTCAGAGGTGAAAAGTCAACCACGGCAGCCAACGGGTCGCTAAAGACAGTCAATAGTTCGCAGCTAATCGAGAGCCAGTCTGGAGGAGAGTGTCCAGGATCTCGGAGCGGCGCAATGAAGGCGGACGCAGGCGGGCCACTGGTGGTCCCTCAGCCACTGCAGGACAGCCTGCCGGCCAGGAAGTCCAGCCTGCCGACCGCCGACACGGTGAGCAACGTGAAGCGACTGTTCGAGCCGCCCTCGGGCGGGGGCGGGGGCGGGGGCGGGCCGCTGGAGCCGGAGAAAGGCAGCGCGTCCGGCGGCGGCCGGCCGGCCGGCGCAGACGCCCTGTTCCCGCCCGCCGCGGATGACGTGCCGGTGCCGGCGGACCGCCCGATGACTGTGTCAGAGAGCAGCGGCGAGCTGCGGCTGCCGCCGGCGCAGCCCGTGCCTAACGGCCGGCCGGCGCCGGCGCCGCTCCGCGCCAGGAACATGGTGGGGATGGTGTTGAGCGGCGGCCGGCCCGTGGCGACCGGGCCGGTGCTGCCCGACGGGCCGGTGACTAGGGCCTCCCTGGCGGCCGCCGTGAAGCGCAGCAGCCCTCCGCTGACCGGGGGTGACCCGGCCCGGTTCAGCTCGGCCCAGGCGGTAAACGCCCGGCTCATATCCGCCGCCGCGGAGACCTCCGGCGAGGCGACCGGTAACGGAGCCGGCCGGCCGCCGGCGCCGGTCAACACCACACTCGCCTGGCACCAGCGCGTCAACAACAGCATCCTGTACAACTTCACCGACCGCAGCGAGGTGCCAGACTACATCGAGGATGACGGCATGGACATCCATCGGCCGGCCAAACCCAAGGTGAGCCCACAAACCGACGCTCCGTCCCAAGGAGTTGGACGTAAATTTGACGTACAGTAGGTCTACAAAAAAAGTCCCCCGCTCCAGAGGCGGCCGGCCGGCCGAACCCCCGGATTCCAGCCCCGACTCTATTGCGCAGGTCGCGGCAGCGACACGGGTCAGGTCGCGGCGCCCGGCGAGTGGGTCAGTTGGCGGCGGCCGGCCGTGGAGTGAGGACGCCGTGTGAGGGGCGCAGAGATGCCGCAGTGCAGAGGAGGGGGAAGATAATGACTCTGCACTATGCCGGAAATGATGCCTTTGTGATCTAAATTAAACACCTGCAGACGTAGTGCATATCCTCCCTCGCCCCATTCCTATTTTATCATAACCCTTCAATAAGCCGTAATGACCATGCAACGCAAGCAAGCAAACAAAACAACCCGTTTAGCGGCGACATCATCTCGGATAAAAAAGCGACAGTAATGATTAAAATAGACAAAGCGCGAGAGCAAATCGAGGGGTATATATGTATCACATACCCAGCATTTTATTCCCATCTAGCAAATCAAGATTGGGGATCTTGTCCAACAAGTCAGCGGCCGTTCTAGACACAGATAAATGCTTTGTTTTCGGTTGCATCATTATCTGCAATAATTCGAAGCGAGGTTTAACCTTCGCCGGCCGAGAAGAAGGGGTGAATGCCGCCACCATGTATTTTTTGCGGTAACTCAAAGCACACTGATGATAGAAGGCTGACATTTCATATGCCTTGCATTTGATTCACGCCGGATCATTTGACATCAACCACGTTTTCAGGTCAGGCCACTTAAAAGGAACTATCCCACCTTCTAAAATGTTGTTAAAACCAGTTAAATTGTGCCCGACTTTATAGATTGGATGACCAGGAACACGGTTCTGGTATTTATTTTTCATTAAACATCTTAGGCCTCCCATATTCCAAACACAAACTTTCAAATATGTGACGTCACAGCCCAAAATTACCTCCTTCCCCAGGCCACATTACTGTCATAAAGCTGATTCTTTTTACTCTGTAGGCACCACAACAAAGTTCAGACCAAGTTTTAAGCGATTTTTCAACGAACAAATCCATTTAAATCAGAATGACTAAACGAGGTGACGTCACAATAACGGTCGCTCCATGTTGAAGATAGGGCCTTGCGCAAGGCCCATTTTCAAATGAAGGGAACGAATTTCTTCAACACCAAGAGGCCGCGGGGGTTGCAACCTAGATAGATAGTGGTTTCTGAACCTCGCCGCAAACTTGGCTATCTCAACTCAAACCCCATGTTAAAGGTGGGATAGTCCCTTTAACCATGGCGTCTTAACCCTCGCCGGCCGAGGGGGGGGGGGGCGGGTGCCGCCCCCAATGGGTTTTTTTCGCGATAGCTCCGAACACGCTGGCGATAGAAAGCTGAAACTTGGCATACCTAACCTTTGATTCAAGCCAGATCTTTTGACACCAACCGCATTTTGGGTCAGGTCAGGTCACTGACCTATGGCGTCATAAGTGAACCTCTGCACGGTCTTCAGATGTCGCAACTTCGCAACGCCCTCACTGCCAGAGGAGATGTCACAGGGAAATGAAACTTGCAGGATCTAGTATCCATTATGAGTCTCACAACTTGTATATCTAGGATTTTTCCTAAAGGTCATATGAGGTCAGGTCATTTTCGTGATCTCACCGTTAGGTATAAGTCAATGGGGAAAAATGAAAACTGCTGTTCTGGCGCCGGGAACGATCTCCAACTACCTCAAGCACACATAATCGTGATTTGATGCACTCCTTGCAAGGTTAGATGCGTCACTTTTGCAATGTTGACCTTGCGTGACGTCATTTATGACGTCATCAAGGTCATATTAGTTTTTCGTCAATAACTCCCGATCAAATTGAGCTAGCGAGTCGGGAAAGCCACCAATGGACTCAGGAAAACCTGCCGAATCGAGTGATATGCAACATGCCCTCTTTCGACCAACTTCGTGACCTGGGGGTGTTGACCTGACCTTGACCTGAGGTCAACACCCCAAGTTGACCTGACCCGGACAAAAAGTTAATCATTCGACGCGCCTGAGCAAGGCGAACACGATGCTGCCAAAATCGCGGCTCTGCGGCCGTTTTTTGCGAAGTTATTCACCAAAAACTGAACCGTACCTTGGGGCACTTGACCTGACCTCAGAGGTCACCGGTTGACCTAGGACCTTAAAATCGGGTACCAATCTCTGCGTCTCGTAACGGCGCACACGCTCGTTTTTTTCCGCGACGCGCTAGCTCCACCTGGGGCGAAACGGCGAGGGGTCGTACCCGCCCCCCCCCCCTCGGCCGGCGTGTATGTAGAAAACCAATAGGTCCGGCGAGGGTTAAGTAAACCTCTGCACGGTTGTCGGTTATAGAATGATGCAAATCCGCAATGCACTTAGTGTCAAGAATAATGAAGAAATATGGAAACTGTTAATTTGGCGTCGGAAATGATCTAAAATTACACCTCAAGCACTTCAAATCGTGACTTCATACATTCTTGGCAAGGTCTAATGCTTCACTTTTGCATTGTTCACCTTGCGTGACGTCAGTTATGACGTCACTAGGGTGATAGGAGTGCTTCGTCAATAACTCCCGATCAAAATGAGCTAGCCAGTCGGGACAGCCATCTTTGGACTTTGCAAGCTTGCCGAATCAAATGTTATGCAACATGTCCTCCTTTCAACAGCTTCGTGACCTGTGTTGCCCTAAAATGACATTGACCTCAGGTAAACATTCTAAATTGCTTCACCTAAACAAAAAAGCATATAAATCGACGCGTCTGAGAACAGAAAACACGATTGTATCGAAATGACGATAATGCGACCATTTTTGCGAAGCTATTTACCAAAAACCGATTGAATGCTTTGGGGCCCTTGACCTGCCCTAAGAGGTCAATGATATTTTAAAATGGGGTACCAGTCGCTGCGTCACGTAACGAAGCAAGCGCTCGTTTTTTTTTTCCGCGAGGCTCTAGCAGCTAGCTCAATTATAGTCCATGAGCTAAACATGGGGTTGGGGGATCGCTCCCTTCTCACTCACTATTTGGCCGGGATAGTGTTTGCAATTATTACGAGCGAGCGAGCGCAGCGAGCGAAGTGAGTCTTTTCAATATAACGGAAAAATCTCAGTATGAGCGGCCCGGCCCGGCCCGGCCCGGCCCGGCCTGTAACGCTTTTGAGAGGCTTATATCTCAGCAACCGCTGGACCGATTGGCCTGCGGTCTTTTTTGTTGGGTAGCCCCATCCCTTCTACCCCGTAATTGAGTACTGTTGATACATCTCAGTGACCGTCGTGGCACGTGCCACGTGAAAAGTCAAGGGTGTTCAAGCTGTTTTGCAAAAGTAGTGATTTTGAGAGGCTCATATCTCAGCAGCCGCTTGGGCGATTGACTTGCGGTAATTTTTATAGGGTAGCAGCATCCCTTCCACCCAAAATAGGATACTCTCGATGCATGTGGGTCACCCCCAGTGCACGTGCAAAATACAACAATAAGAGGTGCCAAATTTGTTCCCATTTCAGCAACTCGGTAATTACTGGGGCGATTTCGCTGAAACTTGGCATAGAGGTAGGCACCCACCAGGCAATGCATTCCCATGTGTTGCGGTTATGGTGCTACTGCACGTGCGCACGTGCAGGGGGCGTTTCCAGATCTCGAGAACGGCTGGGCCGATTGCGCTCAAATTTGGTACACGGTTGGGGACCAGTTAGTAGGGTGCCGTGCAAAAGTCATTTTGGACCCCGTTTGCACGTGCGCACGTGCAGAATGCCGCTTCCAGATCTCAGGAACGGCTGGGCCGATTGCGTTCAAATTTGGCACACCGCTAGCGACCAGTTAGAAGGGTGCTTTGCGCAAGCCCGTTGGAAGTACCCTCTCGCCCTTCCGCACATGCAGGGCTCACTATCTCGCTCGCTCGTTCTTCGCCCAAAAGGCGTTTTACTGGTTGTTAAAATCTAGCATTTTCAGATTTCAAATAACCCATTTTTCTCGCCCAAGTCTTTCAATTCAAGGTCATAACACCAGGTCACGTCAAGTGACCTTACCTCAAGGAAAGTTCCTGTGCTCATCATATCTAAATACACCGACTAACCGATCGCTTTACAACTTTCAGCGATTTCAATGGGCAACGCTATATGTATTTGAAACGTTTACTTTGCAAGTTTGACATTGTTGACAGAAAGGCCGGGTCAATTTTGAGATCGCTCAAGTCAATGGGAGAAAATTGAACTGCGCTTTTTTGGACGGAACGCATAATAAACACTCTGAAAACATGTGGTGCTTGATGAGATACAATACTGAATGAGAAAATTGTTTTTTTTTTTTGTTGAGAGCCATCTTTTTCAGTCTGAAAAGGCCCTTGCAGAGCTATGACATAACTATGCTCTGGTGTAGTAATTGGGTTGTGCGAGCCAGCGACAGTGATCTGCGGAAGCGAGACTGTTCCCGTGGGACGATTGCCCTGTCGAGTGTCGGGACGGTCCAGCCGTCTCCCAAACGGTCACCCGAAGAGGAGTATGTGTCCTGGAATGGATCCGACATCAACTACAGGTTGGCTGGTGGGGTGACCTCCAGTCCAGAGAGGGAAGCATGAAGACTAGGGGCGATGCGGATTGTTTTTTCCTGAGGATAGCGAGGACGGAAGGGATCTAGCACCCTTGACCCTTCCTTATACTGAATGTATCTCAGGCTGTTAAATCTCCTAAGTGTTTTTTTTTTCTCGACATCGTCAAGGTGTCATTAATAGAAATATGAAATCCGGGAGAAAAAAATTTAATATAGAAATTGTGGCCAACAGAACATTATCAGTTGCGTTAAACATACTAGTAAGCATGATCACACACCCAGCTTATATATGAGCCATGTCATAATTATTTTTGATAGACATGCTTAAGTTATGAAATCATCTAAAGTGTTCGTAAAGTTCCACGATACGAATCTTATATCCTGCTATGCATCATGACCATTTCTGGTCAGGTCATGTCTTTG